TTCATTACACGCTTCTTCACCTTTCAGGGTCAAGGGGTTCTGCTGGGATTTCCAGTGCACTTTGGGCGTCAGTCCTTCACAGGGCAACACACACGTTCAGTCCAAGGGGAAATTTAGAGAATTCAATTAACTTGACATGGTTTTGTGAGGGAAGCTGGTGTGAACCAGCAACCTTCTTACTGAAACGTTGCAGTGCCCCATCATGCCGCTCATTTCAGTATTTCTAACTCCATGTATTCTATAAACCAGTGCTTCACAACCTTTTTGAACCACAGAGCACTTTAATATAGCATTTGTCTAAGTGGAATAATTCACAAAGGTTTGTGGCACAAATATAAGCACTTTTCTTTGTAACTGATTGTCTTGTGCTCTTCAAATGTTTGCAGATTTTAAAATAACTTTTTTTTTTTTTAAATCTGTAGTACTGATGGAAAGGATTAATGGTTTTGACTTACAATCCCTTATTAGCATAAGTTAGCGATGACTAGTTCATGTCACAAAGTAACATAATTTCTTAGAACATTAGACCTCAAGCTGAGCCAGAAATACAGCAAAAGTAAATATTTAGGGCTTGAGCACAGAAGTTGTGTTGAATCCCAAGATTCTTCGAAGAACTTTAGAATTTCACACTTGTCACAAGTTTTATCTTACAGAAAATTTGTCTCTGATTGGCATTCCAAAAGTGGGTGTGGCTAAATGGCTCTGCAGCCCTACCTTAAGCATTTTGAAATTCCTCAGACACATGTGGGGTACCGAAACATTTAAAATTCGACAGCAAATGTATTATTTTGACTTATTTTAACAAACGTCAACACCTTTTATCTCATCACCTCCGAGCTCCATCAGTTTTATCTTAAGGCATGACTTGTTAAATCGTTAAATTTTTAAACCATATGTGCACGGCGATTATCGAAATTGTACATATTGCCGAAAAGCAGGAAGTTGTTATAACAGCATGCACTACCGTTGGCTACGACTCTTGAAGAGAATTCTATTTACAATGTTCTTTCAGGATATTTGACCTGTATAAAAGAGTATTTTCAAAAGTGATTAAGGGAACATTCAGACATTTTATGCCATGTTTTTCAATTGCCCCAATTGTTCTATAAAGATGCCAGAGCCCTTTTTTGATTGCTGCTTGCAGTTTAATTTTAATTTAATTCATTTGTTTTCTTCGTGTTTTTTTTTGCGTATATTCCATCATGTGTCTTGACGTGTGAAGAAACTAAATACATTTAAAAATCAAAAGATTGTAAATTTTATAAATAATTTATTGTAACTGTGCAGCATGGCAACAAATGTCCTCAGTGTCCCCTGCCTTAAAACAATTCTTTTTTCTTACATTTTTTTATCTCTTTGTTCTTTATATTTTTGCCCCATTACTTTAAGCAAATTCCAATCATTCTCTGCTTTGTCTCATCCATCTTCTCAAATTCATTTATTTTCTGTAAATGTGTTACACATAAACGTATCTAATACTTTAATGCAACATAAACCCCTCCTTGCTTTGACTGACTGTTTATATATTAACCGTTCTGCTTTCTTCCTATAGACTACTCTTGGCCCTCTCTTCAGGAACTCACGAATGGTTCAGTTTCTCTTCACTAATAAAGATGTGGAGTCTTTAAAAGGACTGTATCGCATTATGACCAATGGATTTGTGAGTATATACAAACACTCCTATAGATATCCTGTTTTATACAAAGTGACATTGTGCAGTACTGCTCTTTAGCCTCTGGGGGGTGTTCTTGCTTTACTTTTGGGTCACTCAAGCTAAATAAAAGATTTCTAAAACATTTAGAATAATAAAAATCAGCGTTTCCTCTGCAAGGAACCTTTACCCTGGAGCTAGACCTATTGGAGCATACAGATCTGTCAGGAGTGAGTCATCATTAACTCTGATTAAATTCACTTTCATCTGCGGCCGGATTATATTGAACTAAGCAGCTATTTTCACAGTCGTCAAATATGTTCTTGTACAGCTCTCATGTTGTCTAGATAGGTGGATGTGTTCATGATTTGATATATTGCATGTGTGCAGGCAGGATGTGTACACTTCCCCCACAGCGCTCCATGTGAAGTGCGTGTGCTGATGCTGCTGTACTCATCCAGGAAGAGGATCTTCATGGGACTTATTCCTAATGATCAAAGTGGATTTGTCAATGGCATCCGGCAGGTTATTACGAACCACAAACAACGATCGGTGAGTTTTATTTCATTAAACATACAGTGGTACCTCGGGATACGAAAATCACCAACACTTCTCCTCTATTATCCACTTGTTAAGTCTGATATTGCGCTGAGCTTCCTGGTGCTCCATTCTCCCATTGCAGACAGGGGTCTGATGCACTTTAAATCAGTTTTAAATCAAGCGGAACATTATGTATAGATTACCAATAATGTGCTATAACACGTTAGAGTCAAGGTGTTGTAAAAGAAATGCCGTTTATAACGTGAAAATTGCTGTTCTGTAGCACCAGTTAGAGACAGCCTGTTTGCTGAAGCGCTCACTCCATCCCTTCACACGCTTGTGCTTGAAACTGTGTTGGTGTTTGTAATCCATGAAATATCTTGAGATCATACGTAGTGCTGTAATGTTTCACATTTGTGTACATATTACGTATTTTGCATGTGTTTTATCCTGTTTTATTATAATTTATTATATTAATATTTATATTGCTTTTTTTGTTTTTTTTTTCTTCGGTTTTCCATTTTTTTATCATTTTAAACTGTTGGTAAAAAGGAACGAATTAATCTCGTATCTCGGGGTATCACTGTATTTACGTTTATGGCACAAACCAAGGTTTCTTTCTTGGAGAATTAACGAAAAGTGCATTGTTTGGAAAAAGCTTTAGTGAAATTTATCTATAGTTCCAGTTCATTTTAGTTTGTAACCAAACAAATCCTGTTCAGTTACCAGGTGGACAAATGCAGGTCAACCAGAACTTCCTGAACAGAGCTCCTGGTCCCATCCCTGTCACGCATGGCAACGTTCCCCAGCAGGTAAAGCAGCAGTGTTCCCCTCCTCACTGCCCTGCTCTCTCTCTGTCTGTCTGTCTTGCTCTGTTCCTTCCACTGGCCCGGTGTTCTCACCTGAATTGTATTATTCCAGCACTTGCGATGGAATGTGCATGCTGTTTCTAAATCCTCCCCCTTTCCTCCTCTCTGTCCATCTCTCCTGCCTCAGTCTGTGGTGGTGGGCTTGCCCTCTGTCAGTCAAGTCACACTGATGGAGGACCAGCAGAGACAAAACAACATGGTGAGGAACACAAGCTCTTGATTTTCCAAGCGTGTGCACACACTCACGGCTCTTTCTTTAGATTTAAAGACTTGTGAAAGGGAATTTTATTCCAATTCAAACGGTTCACTAAATTGGAAATGTTTGGTTCCAAAATGCTTTAAATCCATAAATGTTGAGCATAAACTATTTGTTTCTATTTTATTATTCTATAATATTAAAATCTTTAACTTTATTTTAACTGACAAAAGTCTTTTACCCCCCTGTAAAATACCATATATTACCATAAATAACAACCAAAAGTGGTTTATATTTATGGCAAGTAAAAAATTAGATCCTGAATGTATTAATAATGACAAAAAAGGCAAGACACAGAGCAAAAACATAGTGACAGGATTTTAAAAAGAGGCCAAAATGAAGCTTATTTTTGTGGTAAATTGTTTTATCTCATTTTGGAACCAAACTCTTTATTTGTAACTTAGACAAACTAAGTTTTTGACCCTTTTCAATTTATTTCGTTCAGAAGTTTATTAAACAACAATTGTTTCTGTTTGAGAAAAAAAAAATGAAAGAGAATAAAAATGAATAAATTTCAAGCTAAATTACAGCAGACCAAATTGTGAATTGCTCGTGTTTACGGCACTCAAATGTTTGTCTAATAAATGGAAAGAATTTAACTTTTATTTTCAATTGAACTTCACAATTCACAATTTCACTGTCAACCACTTTATAGAAAGTGAGATTTTTTTTTTGTAACTGCTTTGCACTTTCTTTTAGATGCGTCAACAATTTATTTGTAAAGTAAACTTTGAATGTAGTAAAACGTACTCATTCCTTGCGCTCACTCTTCATTCTTCCTCACCCAAAACTAAATGTTAATATTTTAGGGTAACTACATGGGCAGAAAAATGTAAGGGGAGCAACAAGTACACCAGCGGGAGGCTACTGCACAAGGCCCTATTTACCTACTGCTAAACATGGCAGGGAGTTAAAAGACGATAGTTTACTACAGAAGTGTGGAATAGTACCTTCCCCATTTTTTTCCTCTCTTCACTGCTCTCCTAGAAGATGCTTTACAACTGGGTCGCCTCAGTTTCTTCTTCATGACTGTTGCTTTTGATTCCTATTAGCTGAGGGCTGCTGCGGCGGGCAATCAGCAGCCTACAGTCACCGGAGCTCCACCCAATCAGGTTCAAGGTCAGGGCCAGCCTCCTGGTGGGGGTATCCTCCGGCTACCAAATCCTGGTGCAAATCCTCAGCTACGCAGTCTCCTGCTCAGCCAGCAACCTGTAAGTGTTGTCAAATGGTTTCTGCAGTTATTCTGAACCACGGTTGTGTGGGGGACTCAATAACACAAATGGACCAGTGGGGGGCTGTAACATAACATTGCGAAGTCTGGAAGAAAACCTGAACCAGGTCCAATAATAATCGTAGAAATCACAGATATGTCAAATTTATTTATAGCCTGTAAAAATCATTTAGTTGTTGATGTTATGAGTGGAACTTTTTATGGAGTAATTGGGATTCATGCCATTGTCTGTCTGAAAACTGGATTCTTATTGGCTGGTAAGATTTGTATAACCAATTATATGGATGGTATACAATTTCTCTATCCACTAAAGCTCACTTTTAAAATCAATCTGCTGCATTGGTAACCATAGTAACTTACAGGGAGTTGACAGCAGTACATTACTTTTACATTTATGCATTTGGCAGACGCTTTTATCCAAAGCGACTTACATTTGAATGAGTTAGTTCTTGCTTTCCCTGGGATTGAAAACACGACTTTTGCGTTGTTAGCGCAATGCTCTACCAACTGAGCCACAGGAAAGCATAGTAAATAGCATAGTAAACATTTCCAGATTTGCTGGAGTAGGATTATTTTTTCTTCAATAATTTGCTATGATTATTGGGCTTTTTCATATCATGAACATTATATTGAGATATGTGAGTAAAGCACATCTTTGTTGTAATATTTCCATGAAATACTTCATTGACAGTTGGCTTTAGAAAAGACAATGGACCTACAGCAGCAGAGGACATTGCTCCCCAAACACATGTGACCTGTCTGGTCTTCCTCCATACACAGAAACCTTGAAGTCCAAATGAAATGCATATTTAGATTTCATGTGGAAAGCAGGCTGGGGATCAGTACTTTGCTTAACTCGGCGTAATATTCTATATTTGGTCTATAATGATTATATTTGAAAGAAATAAATTCTAGAAAATGTTCACTTTGTGTGTAGGGAATTAATGCAACAGAGCCGTTCAATCAAAGGTTCTCTTTGTGCAGCAGGGAGGAATGCAGGGCATGCAGGGAATGCATCCCATTCAGCAGATGGTCCACGCGGCACCAGGAGGGGGCGCTCAGATGCAGGCTCAGTGGAGGCAGTCTCACCAGGGTAACGCTTCGCTTCCACTACAGGATCATTAGCACTTTATTTTTATCACATCTGTGACCTTGTTGATTGTTGAGGAGGTTTCGGTTGTTTGCAGTAGCTTTTTTTTGTCTTGATGGGATTTATTTATGCTCAGTTAACTTTCCTACAGGTCCACTGATGGTCCCTACAGGTCCTCGGGGGCCAGTCACACAGAATTCTGGGATGCCGCCGGTTTCGAGCATCATGGAGGATGAAATTCTTATGGATCTTATCTAACTAAAGGCTGCTTTTCACATTATTCAGAGAGTGGGTCACTCACTTGCCCTGCTTTTACTTTCTGTTGGAGTCAGAGCAGAGGTGTCAGGACGTTGTTTTCATCACCTCATGGTAGCATGTTAGTTCTGACAGGGCGAACTATCGCTTTGCTTTTGTTCTGAGATGAGTCAATTGTCGTTGAACTTGTCTCTTGAATTTGAAATTTAGGATGTTTTTATTAATATTAAATAAAATTTATTCCCTGTTAAACGCATGCACTGTTATTTTGTTGACTAAAAGGATAACTGCCAAAATCTAGTAAAACTTTTAAAGGAAAAGAGAACCTCAGAAATACTCAGTGTTTCCCCACTAACGCTGATTAGTACCTGGATTGTAAGGAAGAACCCGGTTCCTGTGGGAAGTGGTGCTGGTGAGCCATTTTCCTGTGGTCTGTGTGGGTTCTAGTGCTGCGCAGTAAAGAAGCACCGTCCTTCAGAATAGATGTTGATCTGTGGTAATAAAAAAAATAAAACTAAATCACATGATTTTGTTTGAAAAAACTAATTGGGTTGTAACCTTCAAGCTAAATCGTCCCATCCCGTCAACACCCCCAAACACACTTACAGTGCTTTCGCGTTGGGATCCAACTTATCCCCAAAAAGAGTTAAGGTATAGCAAGTCTGAAAGCACTCATTCTTCCACTGGGAAGCTATCCCTGGACCAGTTGTGCATTTTCAAAATTCCATTCATCGCTGTGCAGTTTAAAGCAATTTGTACCAAAGATCAAGAACTCACCTAGTGCTGCACAGACTGTTGCTTTACAGACGCCTCAAAAATCCACTTTTCTCTTTGGTGAGCAGCAGGAGCTTCTTTCCAGCGGCTGATTTTTTCATCTTTTTAACGTGTTCCTGTTCCTTTCGATGGCATCTGCTTCATCCATACAAATGAAACAAGCACAGAATCATTGAATATGCGTTTAAGATGAACAAAAATAACAACAATTTGAAAATGTTTGTTGTGATCTGATTGAAAAGTGCATTTAAACATAGGTTTGCAATCGCTGCCCGCTGAAGCAAACACTTTAGTTTGATGCACTTTTCTTTTTGCAAACCCTTGCCGGTACTCCTTGCCGTTTCAGTACCTCCTAGCAGAGCAACATCCTTTTCCCTTTGGTTTTTCAAGGCCCTGTTCAAACATACCTGGTTATTTTGAATATAACTGCGTGTTCGTTCACATTCAAACACAGCATCAATTCATGTAGCTGTTCATTTTTGAAAACAAAGGTCAATGTACGTCATTTTGGAAATGCTGTAAACTCTTTTTACATGTAGACTGTGTTGTGGGTGTTGTAGGTGGATTTTGTTAGACTTAAACAAGGACTAGAGCTGAGGTGCATTGTTTTTACAAACTCAATGCTGAATACTCAATTTAAAAAATTGAGTTATTATAGCGTTGTATAGGGTTTTTGAGTTTCGTATGTGTTTTATGTGAGAAAAACAACATCACAATAACCCATCTTCTTTGGAGAAGCCTAAAGGGGTACAAATCTAGAATCTTAGGACACTAATATGGAAGAAAGTCTGTAGGGTTAAAAAAATGCCGAAAAGTTTGGCAAAGATGACAGATTTGGATTTCTATGGAAATGGATACCTTTGTATCAAAATGCACTGTAACATCTGAATGTATAGTAGACTTTACAGATTATGTAATATCACATTAACTTTTGAAAAAAAAAAAACTACTACTAGGGCAAAAGCACTCTAAATGCAAAGCATTTGTAAAAGTTTCAACCGTAGGTGTGCATCCCTTGAATGCTGGGATTGATGCAAACACACTTCAAAGCAGCGGGGTGATCTAACCCCCCTGCCTGTGAGCTGTGGGGATGCATTGCTATACCACTGGACACACAAGACCTAAAGATGAGTCCAGCTTTACATCATTATACTGAATTGGAATTACTTGAGGGTGAGTATCACATAATGCGTAGGTTTTTGTCATTTGGTAGAGGTGTGATAGCAGACGATTGGTAGTTTAAATAGATGGATGATCGGTTGGAACGCGCTTGATTCAGCCAAATGGTGTCACAGTGTTAAAATTATCCACTCCAATATGTCATGGAAGCATACAGTGGACTACTGTGCCAAGTAGTTCTACCAGATGGCAGCACTTGGCCACACTTTCCTTGGCAAAATCGTAATCAGGCTGGACAGACACGATTATGACTACAATCCACATAGTTACAAAGCTATCTTGGCTCTGAGTGGTTATATATTCATAATTTGACATCGAACCCCTGCTGATTACCCATCTTGTGTGCGGAACAAACACTTTTAATGATCGGACGTTTTTAAACATATTCTTCCTGATCTCTCTGAAGCATTAATTATGAAGCATTGTGTAAGACATCGCTGCATATCTGTCACATTAGAAATGCATGTGCCGGATCCATCGCAGCAGTAATGGAACATTGGCTCGGAATTCAAACGCTGAATAAAGGGGAAAGAAACCGCCTCCGGACAGAGACCAGATTTCCTCTAGCATGCTTTTCTCAGCTTCTTTGCATGCACACCCTTTAGTACACAAACGCACATTCTCACACAGACAGGAAGTGATGTTAGTCCCTGTCACCTGGGAGACGGAGACGGTTGCTAAGATACACTGACACAGGGATCTGCTTCTAAGCTTTCACTTCATCCCTTCCTCGTGCGTGCACACACACACTCACACATACACACATCAATAGAGGCTCTTCTGTCTCACTGGCGGCTGCTCATCCCTTTTGCTGGCATACAGGTCACGTCAACAACCGAAAATTTGTGGACTACACACTTAAGTCGTTTCCCTCCTCACACAAGTCTGCAATTGTTCCAATTTAAAACTAGCTTCTTCAGACATGCAGATTGTTTGCTCTTATCGCAGTTTACTGTGTGGTGCACATTTTCTGCCTGATATTGTCCAAAAAAAGCTTCTCTGAGAGTACTTATCTGCAGCCCTGATGGTAAAGACTGGTGATTCTGCCTGACTGTGCTAAGCGTGAGGAGTGGAGCCATAATGCTCACTCGTCTGGATGAACGAGTATAGTACTTTGAGCCGGATGTTTGTGTTTAAGCTTGCACCGTCTGCTCAATGGACAGTGAACTGCTTTGGCCAGGGGACTAAGTGGGTCACCCTGCCACTGAGTTTTGTTTAGGAGAGCTTCATCTCACTTTTTTGTTTATTTTAAGTAAATCTGCTCTACTGACCCTCCCCAAAAAATTTTGTTGAATTGAGTCTGGCCCCTCTTGTTTCCTATTATGAAACAACTAGATCAGATCAAGTGATTACAAGCAGAAGATTAGTTACGCTATTAGTTTTTTTGTAAATAGGATGAGAATCTAAGTAATGAAAGTAATAAGGGAGAGTGTAAACATATTTCCCACATCAGATACTGCTAATTTTAATGTTGATCGACTTATGCCGTTGTCTCTCCCAGTTATGGTGTCGGAATGTAAACTTAGTGCTGGTGTACACATTAGCGATGCAGGTTGTTTATATGTTATGCATTTAACGTCAAAACATATAATTCCAGCAGTTTGAGGAGGAAGTCTGAAGAAAAACAAGCCATTGCATGGCTCAGACATTTGGTGGAGTGATACGAAGAGTGAAAGAAGCACATCTTCCACTCTGGAGATTTTTAGAATACACTGCTATACTGATGATACATTATTGTTGAAAACAGAAAAGCGTGCTATTAGTGGTTTTGGTTAGGTGTTAGGGTTAATTCATTTGTTTTTTTGTGAATTCAAGTCAACAATGACTCGAGGACAGCACCTTTAAGTTTAGATTAGTATTAGAGGAGTGTGTTCACATTCACAGTTTGGTTAATTTTGCTCTTGGATGTCAAAAAACGGAATTTCAGATGCTAAAGAGCACCAAAACAGAATTTCAGATGCCAAAGAGCACCAAAAATGGAATTTCAGATGTAAAAGAGCACTAAAATTGGAATCTTGGTTGTGAAAGAGCATCCAAAAACGAAATTTCAGATGTTAAAGGGCACTAAAACGGAATTTCGGATGTAAAAAAGCACCAAAACGGAATTTCGGATGCTAAAGAGCACCAAAATGGAATTTCAGATGTAAAAGAGCACTAAAATTGGAATCTTGGATGTGAAAGAGCATCGAAAAAAGGAATTTCAGATGCAAAAGGGCACTAAAAC